ATCTCCAAATATGCCTATAACTATTTTTATTTTAGTTATTTAATTATTTATTAAATTATGAATAAAATATGAGTTTTTGATTTTTTCCAATTATTTTTGATCCATACTGTAAATAAAAATATAATTGCAATTTTTTTTTTTCTAAACCGTGCAATGCTTGCTTATGTAACGTGACATTCAACATGCTGTAACCTACGTAATAAGGTAAATATCGTGTTACGTATAATACATTCAAATCGGACAACTCTGGAGAAGTCGCGTTTAAATATTAAAATTTAAAAAAATGAGCGTTGTTAACATTACTAACATCAAGGTTCTAGACAACCCAACCTTATTTACCGAAGATTACAAGTTTGAAATCACATTTGAGTGTATTTCAAACTTATCAGATGGTACGTTCCTTCTTTAAACACTTTCTTTTGCATTTTTTATTGTTATACTGGAAATCAACAGTACTTAAAGGACGTTCTGACCAAGCGTCAAGTTAACATGCACTTGCATCCACCGAATATCTTTCTGTATGATTGAAATATATTTTGAACTTTTTGATTTTTGAAAAAATCAACGCTTTTCAAATTACATCGTGCTTTGGCAAAATATGTCAAACCAGTGGATATTCTTCTTGAACTGAACACAATTTAAAAAAACACATCCATTTCAATTGTATTCCAGATTTGGAATGGAAGATTATTTACGTGGGCTCCTCAGAAAGTGATCAGTATGATCAAGTTCTTGATAGCATCATGGTAGGACCTGTTCCTACCGGAGTTAACCAATTTATATTTCAGGTACTTATTCCAAGGGTGGACTTTATTCAATTTTCGGAGAAAAATTGCTAATTTTCCGATGTCTATCTCCTAAAGGTACCTCCTCCGAATCCAGAGCGCATACCGCAAAACGAAATATTGGATGTCACGGTAATCATAATCACATGTTCTTATAAAGACCAAGAATTTGTGCGTGTCGGGTATTATGTGAATAATGAGTACTTGGATGAAGAGTTGAGGGAAAATCCACCATCGACTGTAGTGCTGGAAAAATTATACCGAAACATTTTGGCCGATAAACCTAGAGTTACGAGGAGGCCTATCAAATGGTGAACAATTGTTCATAGAAAATTCTATCTTTATTTTTTACACATATTCATACAAAGTGATCACTTTCCTATACACAGGGATTCTGAAGACGAAACACAGATGGAACGTCATCAACAGGAACAACAATCATCTGTTCAGGAGATTATGGGCGATGTAACTCAACAGCAGCAATCACCACCTCAACCACTTGGATTTGGACCTTCACCACAACCATCCGGATTTTCATCACAATCTTCTCAACCTTCTACTTTAGGCATTGGATCAAATTTCATGGAAACGATATCATCCTGAAGTTTCATCATGCAAGTTGTGCGATAAACCTATTTGCCGATTGCGCGATAATTAAATATTTCGCAATCCTTTCTTGACCTTTATAGTGTTTCGTTCATTACAGATTAGCTAGCGACCTCTTTTTTTTTTTTTCAAACATAAAAAAAAAAGATGCACCCATTTTTCAGAGCACAACTTGCAAAATTAGATTCTTATTTCAGAGTCGGACGGGTCTCAGCAATATGTTGACATTTTATCCTGATGACAATACTTGACATTACAACAATTTATATAATCTTGCCTTGGGTATTACTTAAATATGACTACCCTCAATGTTTTTTTTAAATTTTTGAGAATTCGACGTGCCTAAAATTGATGTGCAAACTTTATATTTTGACCGAATCTTGCTTAATAAATCCAGGAATTCAACATTTTGTTGATTTTCCTCAGGGAATGTTGAGATTAATTCGCGCAAAGATAATAGTTGTTTGTATAATCTTGTTTCATTAAAAAAATCGTTCAATAAAGGATGGCAAACTTACTATCAAAGAAAAGATTTACCCACCTATCATTTCTTGTTTTTTTCGCAGCTATATTCCATCCTTTTTCCAGAATTTTTAACCATAGTTCCGCTACACCATCATAGAATCCTATTTCTTGAGATAACTCGAATCCCTTCTCACATCCAATAATTTGACCCTCCAGTTCTCC